AAAGAAATACAATTAATTAGTCCAAATTATGAAAGGACCACTCAAACATTAAGTCTCTATGACCCTGAGACCAGAAGAACTAGATGGTGCATGACAACTACTACTAAGTAGTCTGAAATGGATCATATTAAAATGGATCATAGACTAGGAGAAAAATGTGGAAAAAAAACTCAAAATCATAAAAATAAAATCAAACTTAATGATTGGATAGACACGTGGAACTCCTGAGGCTATGACACTTAGTCACCTTTCAGGCCTAGAACTGAACTCATCCCTTGAGACTCCATTTTCAGCCAAGCAATAGATCTATAAAGTAAACAATAACACTAGAGAAGTATGAATTCCTTATAACAATCAATCATTCAAGAAAAAAAAGGGCAGCATTTCCCAAGGATAAAGTTCAGAAGACAGGAAAAATTCGGAAAGGAGGAGGAATGGAAACAGGAAACACAGGTAGGAAATGAGTGCATGATGTTACTTACATTGTGGGGATTGCAACCAACGACATGAAAAAAAAATGTGTATAAATTGTTGAATGGAAAACTGATTTGCTCTGTAAACCTTTACCAATTCACAATTTAAAGTTTTCAAAAAATATATAATTTATTTAAAATTCCCTTTAGAATTTTTTAAAATTTGTTTTACTACTTAAAAGATATCTAAGTATCTATGCACTTTGACTGAAAGCAAAGGCTACCAGAAAGATGTCTATCTGTATGACTATGTAAATGACTATGTAAAGACATTGGATTGGGTGGCCTGTGGTATAGAGAAAAATCAAATTATGGAAAACAGTGCAAAGAATACGTATTTAAGAACACTTAATTGTGCTCATGAGGAACCTACATAGATTAAGAGGCAGTGTTCAAACAGAACAAGGGAATAATGTCTGGTTTAAAATCAGGAAAGGTATAGATCAGGGTTATATTCTTCCACCATATTTATCAATCTGTAGGCTGAGCAAATAAACTGAAAAACTGGACTAGATGAAGAATATAGCATCAGGATTGGAAGAAAACTCATGAACCTGGGATGTGAAGATGACACAACCTTGCTTCCTGAAATAAAAGAGGACTTGAAGCAATTGTTCATAAGCATCAAAGACTATAGCCTTCAATATGGATTACATCTCAATATAAAGAAAACAAAAGTCCTCATAAGTAGACCAATAAGCAACAGCATGATAAACAGAGAAAATATTAAAGTTGTCAGTGACTTCACACAATCAGTGCCCACAGAAGTGGCAGTCAAGAAATCAAAGGGTATATTCCACTGCAGCAACAGACCCCTTAAAGTGTTAAAGAGCAAAGATGTCACTTTCAAAAATAAGATGCATCTGTTTCAAGCCATGGTATTCACCTCATATGTATGTGAAAGTTGGACAATGAATAAAAAGAGATTAAAAAAATAATAATCAATGCCTTTGGATTATGACATTGGCAAAGAATATTGAAAATGCCATGGACTGCCAGACTAAAGAACAAATGTATCTTGGAAAGAGTACAGCCATAATGCTCCTTAGAAGTAAGGATGGCAAGACTTTGTTGGATGGACTTTGGACATATTATTAGAAGCAGCCAGTTCCTGCAGAGGGTCAGCAAAAAAAAAGAAGACCCTCAGTGAGATGAATTGACACAGTGGCTGCAACAGAGCGCTCAACCCTAGCAACAATTGTGAGAATGGTGCAGGGCCAGGGAGTGTTTCATTCAGTTGTCCATGAGGTCACACTGAGTCAGAATCCATTCGATGGCATCATACAACAGCATACAATTCAATGTTCCCATTGAAATAAAAGATGTCATATTCAATTTTCACCTACTTAACAGTGAGTCATTTCTTAGAACTCAGTTTTCCTGTAATAGCATAGGGACAGGCTGTGACATTTTGTACACTTCACAATTTTAGAAATAAGTTAGAACCATGATATATGTAAGGGTTTGTAATTACTCTGATATATCCTTCAATCTCTGTCAAGAAGATAATAAATGTGCATTTTCCCTAGTACTTGGAAATGCGAATTGAAAAGCATCTGCTGCCTCTTTATTCACTAATAGCTTAACTGGTCCTCTAACCTAGTACCTCTAGCAGAATAATAGCAAAGCTACTGGCACCCATGTATCTTTAGATGTACCAGGAAAATAAAAGGATATTATATCATCAGTCTTTTGCATCTTTGGTGAATAGCTGTGATCTATTTTTAAAAACCATTATTCTTTTTGAAAATGCCATTTGCAGATGAAATTCATTTTACAAGGTGGCAATGATTGCTAAAGACAACCAAGGAGTCTTTCCCTAGAATTGATGAAGGTCTAACCATGAGTCTAAATAAAGTGTGATTTACTTGGAAAAATATCTACTTGCTAAAGTAACAGGTAAAAATATTACCATTTATATACCATTTGAAAAATTAAGTTATGTCTCTTCAGTTAATTATCAGTACACTATAATGACTCCAAAGAGAAGTAACTGATTACAGCCTTTATAATTGAATTCTTAAAACATTTTACCTCATAAATTTCTGAAAGATCTCAGAAACCCAATTTGTGCATTTATAACCATCAGATTATATACATTTGATCAGGACAGAGTTGTGTTCAAGGCCACAATGAGTCCAAGTTCAATCATCATCTGCATTCTCTGCCACAATAAAAAAAAATTCATCATATGCTCTGATTGGCCACAAAAAGATGTTCTTTTGTTTGAAAGGAAATAAATACATAAATAAAACTCCTTGATTAGAAAAATTTCAACAGGTCAAGAGAAACTATAGAATCCCTCTGAAAATATCCAGTGGTACCAATTAAATAGAATTAAAAAAAAAATTATTCGGTACACCATAGCAACAGGAGGGAAGGTAACACCTGTAGATTATGTGATTGTACAAAAGACAGACTGCTCCTTTTTTGTGCACTGAGAGTTACCAAAAAAAGTGCAAAGTTCACAAATTTTAAAGTATGAGAGTAAAATGTCAAAAAGAAACTTGCCTATTGTCAGTTTAGCAAGAGAGATGAGAAGTAGGGAAATTTCAAAATAAATCCTATTCGTATCTAAAGCTCCTAAGTCCAGCTGAAGTCCTTAGTAGTGATAACTTCCCATATAATGCTAACAGAGTCTTGATGGTGCAGTGGTGAAAGCACTTGGTGATTAACCAAAAGGTGGGCAATTCTAATCCACCAGCCATTCCTCATGAGAAAGATGAGGATCACGATGAGTTGGAACCAACTTGACAACACACCACCGCCACCACTCTTTAGTAATTCAGTAACATTCCCATCCTTGAAAATATCAGTTCCTTGTTGACTCCTGCTATGGCGCTGTACGATCAGCAGTGGACTGAGAACCACAAGGTCAATAGTTCAAACCCACCAGCTGCTCCTCAGAAATGCTCTACAGGGTTGCTATGAGTCAGACCCAACTCAACATCACTTAACAACAAAAAGAGTTAATAAGGATTTGGGGACCTCCAAAAGAAACCCACTAAACAAATACCAACAAATTACAAATTGAGCTGAATCCTGTTTTCCAATGATGGGCAAGAACAATGAGAGAATCCATTCTATGTATTACTTTTGTTATACAGTAATGACTAAAACAGCTTCTGTGCAAATTTCAGATCAATCTGACAAAGAAAATCAGCTTCACAGCATAACATTTGCTATATGACAGGAGAGTGGACAGCAGTAAAACTAGTTTCACCAGAAAACAACAGTGTTATCAAAGCAATAACACAGCATGAGAAGGGAACTTCTTCTGACTTCCCAGAAGGCATCCCTCATAGGTTATTATTTCTGATTACTGTGGTAGAAAATAACATTTTGCATCTAATGCTTTAGAAGAATGTCTGGTGGCACCATGCTCTGGCTTATCTAATGATTTATGTTGAAACCATTCATTTCCATTTTTCTTACATCTTTAAAATGTCAAAAAGGAGTGAGAAGACAGTCAATTTACCCTCAATTTTGTCAATAATGTAAGGTTTTAGGGAGTCTGTGTAAGAACTCTAAAATAATAGACTAATATATTTTCTCAATTTTTCCTTCCTCCCTATTCCATTGAGGGGAAGGGAAGAATCTATTTCTGATACAATCTCTTTTAAGTTTAAGAGGCTTAAAACCCCCAAAAAATGTTCTCAAACATAGTTATTTTCTAAGTAAATATTGTTCAGAAGGAAAGCTCTATAAAGACTATGAAACCTTCCCTGGAGTGTTTATAAAAGGTAACATAAAAGTAGCTACTATGAGACTGAAAGAAGAAATAAAGTTTTAAGAACTACTAACAAAAAGAAAGAAAATGTAAGTGGTTATACTCAACTTGCCTCTTTTTACCCTTCTTTCAAATGTAAATACACATACATACACAGTAGATTTCTACTACACATTTTAAGAGCAATTACAAAGAAGCAAAAAAGAAAATCAATTCTTGTTTTACAAGTAGAGAAAGTGGGCCACAGAAATCAAGAAAACATAGAAATCTCCCCACCCCCACCTTCCTAAATGAGTCAGAAACAATGCACCCAGACTTTTAAAAGGCTAATTCACATTTCACTTCTGAACATATCCTGTTCAAACTCATAAAATGAATTAAAATGTTACAAGGTAAACAATACCCCAAATCTAATTTGATTAAGATTTACAAAAGAATTACATCAACATTTCTTTGCAAAATGTACAATTTTCCACATACATGTGGAACACAAAGTGTGTGTGTTAACAGGGAAATCATTATCTATCTAAAAATACTCCTTAAAATTTACTTTAAAAGACTTTTGAAAATTAAAATTGATTATAATTTTAGGTAATTTATCTTAAGCACATTACAAAAGCAACTGCATTAAAAAGTACCCAGAAATCAAAGTAACCAAAATTATTTCAAAGAATGTACTCCATACACATAACTAAATCAGAATTCCTACAGTATATAAAACTAGACCTTATAGGTTGATGATTTGTTTATATTTTAAATAAACAAAGGTTCATTTCTTCAGAGATGTATCATTCACATCATAATCGTCCTTGTTTGGCATCACCAATAGCTCCCCAAACATCGAAGATAAATTCATCTGGGAATGCAAAGTCTCCAAGAGTTTCATCAAGTGCCATGGCAAATTCATTTGGATTAACTTTATCCTTTCCAGTTTCAAACATTGTGGTAGCTATTAAAAAAAAAAAAAAAGTTAAAAATTTAATGATAAATAAGATAAATATCAGAGAACTGAGGAAAATGGTGCAAGGAAAATTACTTTCTAAAAGTAACATGCACACATATTTTAATGTAAATTAAAATGAGGATACAACACATCTCAAAGCAGTAAAGATATTTTTTTAACAAAGAATCTTCCTACTGCATCAAGTCCTGAAGCTACCCAACCCCATCCTCTATTCCACTTTGCAGCCCACCATTTTGGAATTCTTAGGATTCTTATGAGTAGAACATGACAGCCTGAAAAAGATCCATCCCACCACTAACTCTGGTAGCGTAGTGGTTACGAATCAGGCTGCAAACCTCAAGGTCAGCAGTTTGAAACTACGAGCTGTTCCACAGGAGAAAGATGAGGCTTTCTGCTCCCGTAAAGATTTACAGCCTCGGAAACCCTGTACAGGGTCGCTATGAGTCGGAACCAACTCCACAGCACATAACAACAACAACAACAACCACTAACTCTGGCAGGAAACTCAGGATGCACTTCATACTCTACTGCCCCATAGTGGTCACTAGACCACAAGGTCAATTCAAACATATCAGCTTCTCCTTAGAAACCTGTCTATACAGGATTGCTATGGGTCAGAACCAACTCAACAGCACTTAACAACAGCAAACATCAACTATGATGAAGTTTAGTTCTGCTAACCCAAAAAAACAATTAAAAAGACAAAGGATTGCAACTTACAATGGATATTCAAACTAGGAGGAAGGGAAGGAAAACAGTAGATTCTCCTGGAATTAAGGCCTTTTTTCTGCATTCTTCTCCAGTTTGATATAAAAAATAAAGGTGGTACCTTAGTTTTGGTTTTTTTTCCCCAGTGAATTACCTCTATTATAAAAGGATGCAGGAAGCATCAAAAGAAGATGGAATGACTATACAGAGACACTGTACTAAAAGAATTGGTGGAGATTCATTCATTTCAAGACGTAGCATACAAATCAAGAACCAATGGTATTAAATGAAAAACTCCAAGCTGCATTGAAAGCATTAGCAAAAAACAAGGCTATAGGAATTGACAGAATACAAATTGAAATGCTTCAACAGACAAATGCATAACTAGAAGTACTCAATAGTCTATGCAAAGAAATTAGGTAGACAACTGCCTAGCCAACAGACTGAATGAGATCCATATTTATGCCCATTCCAAAGAAAGGTGACTCTACAAATAGTGGGAATTATCAAACAATATCACTTATATCACGCAAAAGTAAAATTTTGTTGAAGATAATTCAAAAATATTTGCAACAATATATCAACAAGGAACTGCAAGAAATTCAAGTTGGATTAAGAAGAGGATATGGAACTAAGGATATCATTGCTGGCATCAAATGAATCTTAGCTGAAAGCAGAGAATACAAGAAAGATGTTTACTATGTTTTACTGACTATGCAAAGGCATTTAACTGTGTGAATCATAACAAACTAGAGATAGCATTGCAAGGAATGCTATCTTTGCAGAATGCTTAATTATGCTAATGCATGGACCAAAAGGCAGCTGTTCAAATGGATCAAGGGGATACATTGTTTACAATCAAGAAAGGTGTGGGCCGAACATATTCAATCTGTATGTGGAGCAAATAATCTGAGAATCTAGACTATATGATGAAGAATGTGGTATCAAGATTGGAGAAAGACTCATTAACAACCTGTGATATGCAGATGACAAAACTTTGCTTGCTGGAAGTGAAGAAGAGGACTTGAGGAAGTTGCTGATGAAGACCAAAGAATACAGCCTTCAGTATAGATTACAATTCAATGTAAAGAATACAGAAATACAAGCGACCAATAAACAACATCATAATAAAGATTGAAGTAATCAAGCATTTCATTTTACTTGGATCTACAATCAATGCTCATGGAATCAGCAATCAAGAAATCGATGGACAAATTGCATTGGGCAAATCTGCTACAAAAGACCGCTTTAAAGTGTTAACGAACAAAGATATCACGGAGGGTTAATCAGAGAATAACTGAGGCATTTGAATTGTAATGTTGGTGAAGAAGATTGAAGACTCCATGACCTTCCAAAAGAACACACAAATCAGTATTGGAAAAAGACACAAAGATGCCAAGACTTCATCTGACTGTACATTGGATATATTGTCAGGAGGGACCAGTCCCTGGAAAAGGACATCATGTTCTGTAAAATGGAGCATCAGTGTTAAAAAAAAAAGGAAGATCCCAAAAAGATGGACTGACACAGTGGCTGCAACAATGGGCTTAAACATAACAATTGTGAAGCTGGTGCAGGGCAGGCAGTCTTTTCATTCTGTTGTACAGAGGGCTACTATGAGTCAGAGCCAACTCAATGAAACCTAAAAACACCACCATTATAGAAAGTCAAGAAAAGGTTTGTACACAGAAAGAAACATTCTTTGTTGGTTACCAGGGATGAGAGGAGGAGAAAAGGAAAATCACTAATTAGTTAGTAGACATATAATAACTTGGGTGAAGAGAAAAGCAATACATAGTAAATGGCAGCTTAAGACAGCATTACCAAGGTAAAGTAAGAGACTGAGATATGCAAGAGTAAAAGACAACAAGAATAAATACTATTATATACATGACACTGCATAACAGTAATGTTGTTAAGTGCCACTGAGTTGGTTCTGACTCATAGCAACCCTGTATAAGTTTTGCAGAGCAGCTGGTGAGTTTGAACCACCAACCTTGTGATTCAAATGACTTTACGACCCAGTGCTTATCCTACAGCACCACACCAGAACTCTACATAACAGGTAATAGCAAACTCTAATTTATGAACAGACACACAGGTAGACATATAAACTGAACAGGTGTGGCATGCATATAGGAGTACACCCACAAACATATATAGATTTAACAAAGGATATTTGTACATATGTATCTGCATGCACTACAAATATATCCAAGTTCATAGCAGAGCATACAGGGGGTAAAGTTATGCAAACTACTTTGCCATAACCAAACACCTTGAGGGACTAAATCACTGGGGTCAAAGGCTTAGAACCATCATCTCAGGGGACAGCTATGCCGATTGGCATAACATAGTCCACAAAGACAATGTTCTACATCCTATTTTGGTGAGTAGCAACTGAGGTCTTAAAAGCTTGCAAGAATTCAACTACTGCTTCTTCCTGTCCAAAGCAATGAAGAAGAAAATCAAAGACTCAAAGAAACAATTAGTTCAAAGGACAAATGAATCATGTGAACCACAGTCCCCACTAGTCTGAGACCAGAATAACCACATGGCGCATGCTACCACTACCGAGACTGCACTGATTGGAATCACAACAGAAGGGCTTATACAGAATGGGAGAAAAATGTAGAACAAAATTCAAAATCATAAAAAAACACTTACTGAACTGATACTGATCATATAGAGATGAATTATTTTATATCATTTTAAATCATGTTGATGAATTAAAAAATAAACCACTGGCACCTACTCAATTACAACGTTAGTGACCCTGCAACCATCTATAGAATTTTTAAGGTTGTAAATTACAGAAGCAGAAAAGTCTCATCTTTCTCCCATGGAGCAGCTGGTGGGTTTGAACTTCAGACCTTGCAGTTAGCAGTACAGTGTTTATCCATACTTTGCAATAATTTTGGAAATCTTATTTAACATTTACTTAAGAATAATATGTAAATTTTATATTACAATCACAACTATGGTTTTAGAAAAATCTCCATATTTGAGATGGATAAATGAAGAAGTATGTGATAAATCAAAAATAGTAAAACATTAATTATAAAATCTACATGATCAGTATAGAGATGTTTATTAAAAAGTCTTTTAACTGCTGCATGACTGAAAATGATCATAATAAAATATTGGGGGAAGAACCTCTAAGCAAACAGTGGAAACCTTTGGAGAAAGATAACTCAAATATTTCCACAAAAATAAGTGGTTAAAAAAATTGTTACCGAGCAGTTTGGGAGAGAGAGACAGGCAGATTGGTGGTCTGATGGTGCAGATTCACATGGGCATTGGGAAAGATGGGATTCTTTCTTGATTCCCACATTTCCCTGGACAACAAAAGTGAGGCCGGCCCCAAACCTCATCTACCCCAGCATGACCCTGATCTCCAGGAGTTGTGACCCTCACAGTTTGTGCCAATGTGATACAGACTCAGATCCAGATCTACAGAATCCACATTGCCTTTAGACCATAATTAGCCTATCAGGAAACTTCATAATCAGCCATCCTGCCCCCAGCAGCCATCTGGTTCTGACACTGAAACAGCTTCAAGAAGCTCCATAAACTATTTCAGGATTGGGTGCCCAGAAAATAGACACACAGAGGTCTATAGGAACTCTACCTATGGCTAGGAATTTAGCTATTATCATATCCCTCCTCCATTTCCTTGGTCAGCAGGAGTGCCCCAGAATTTCTCCTCTCTGGGTCCAAAAACTGCAGTAGTTTTTTTGTTTGCATATTTTTCCTTTTGTCACTTTGTTGTTTTTGTTTGTTTATTCTTTCTCCTTCTTCCTCTTTATACCTTTCTACCTTTTTTATAGCCTTTCTATCTGCTTTTATTTTTTTCTTCTAGTTCTCATTTTTACCTTCTTTTTTCCCTTGATTTTTCTTGACTACTCTCTAGTCTCTATTTTCATCTTCCACCTCTGTTTTGGGGTTTGTTTAAGTTTTTATTGTGAATTGAGTAACTATTTACATGGGAGAACATCAGCTTTACATTCATCCTATCATATGTCATTTCATTGCAATTACAATCCCCTCCATGCATCATCAAACAACCAAAGGGTACACCCCACAAGTCTGCCAACCCAGCCATCAGCACACAGCCCCTCTCCCTCCCTGAGTTCAGAGTCCCCAGCCACTCCATCTCTCCTGGTCATCATCTCTGCCTCCATCTCTGGTATCACTGTTTCTCTAGATAGCATCCCGCATTCCGCTTTTCTCCCTTGATGGTTCCAGGGTCCTCCACTCCTGGACTACAAGATCAA